GCAGAAGACTTGATCACCTGTCTTCAACCTGAGGGCGTTTGTTTTATTCATGAGGAATGCTGAGGATGACAGCGCCGTCCTGGAGGCCACGCCGCCTCTCAGGGACAGGGGGGGGGGGCGTGCCGCCATTAGAGTTGGAGGTTCACCAGAACAAAACATCTTTAATTCAGTTTCCTGTTCCCAGAGGAAGAAGTTAAAGAGCGGCAGTTTGTATGTAACAGATCCGTGATGTCGTTTGTTGTGTCACTGTCCATCTACATCCCAGTTTAAATGCAGGGGTGGGGGTGGGGGGGTGGATGGTGTTGTCATGGCGATAAGAGTTGATTGAGTTCCAGTTTGAATGTTTAATGTAGTTTCAGTAATCAGGTGAGGGAATTAAGAGACGACTCTTAATTATAAAAGATAGCGAGGACGAGAACTCCAGAGAGTCGGAACCGGCTGGTGATGAAGTTTAAAATGAGACTGTTCATTTCACACAGAGGACAAACGTAGAAATATGAAGGTTTTCATGTTGCCAAGAACCTGAGTTTAATAAAAGCTGTGCGTGTGCGTGTGCGTGTGCGTGTGTGTGTGTGTGTGTGTGTGTGTGTGTGTGTCCGAACATGCACTATATTAACAGCCATGGCTTGGTTCAAAAGAATAAATAAGAATAAGAAATACGTTCTTCCTCAGCATTAGAAGATCTTTGTTGCCATGGTTACAATAATAAAAACAAAGTAAAGAAATTACAGTTAAAAAGATTCTGATCAGTGTTATCACGGATAAACAAGAGAGAGTGAGTGATCAATAAACTGTGCAGTAGAACATCTTTATCTTGGAACATGAAGAGTCTGGTCTGGAGCTGTGAGCTCATCCGACAAGTTCAGATCAGTCAGCATCTTAAACCTGACAGGACTCAGGACTCAGGACACAGGACTCAGGACACAGACCTTAGGACGTCTCCATGTCTCTGCAGAGTCCAGGTTCATTAAAACTCAGCAGAGCAGTGGGAAGCTGCTGGGACCTGGTCTCAGGCCGTCTGGGTTGTGTGCGTCCTGAGACTCAGACTCATTAAAACAGACTCAGTTAATGTGGAGAGCCAAAAAACGGTCCTGACCCTGAGTTCAGTCTCAGACCAGCTGGAGCTGGATCAGGATTCTCTGTGGGCCAAGACAGAAGCTAATTTAAGCCGCCACCACCTAAGAACCAGAATCAGGAGGTCTGAAACCTGACTAAGGTGCAATATGTATATACACTGTAAAAGAGTGTGTAAGGTGAATACATCTGTCTCTGAGGTCACAGCAGCACATCCGGTGGGTCAGTTCCATCTGTTTCCTACTGAACCGTTTTCATGTTAAACTGGTCGATACTTTCACCTGTGAAGGTGACAAACATGTGCAACAGTAACAGGCTGTAATAACACGCAGAGACTGTAGAGAGTCTTTGCTCTGCACGGCCGCCTACACCTGCTACCTGACCGCAGCAGGCTCCTGGATACGCGCTACGAAGTCGCTGCTAACACAGTTAGCATTCATAATTCGAGGTAAACTTTATATCTTAGTGTTAAAATAATCTTAGTAGCTAATTGCATACATGTCCACATTTGGTAAATATCACATATATGAGGAGAAAGCTTGTAATATTAGCTTTAGTTACTGTGTGTAAGCTAACTGTGTGGTGTAACCGCTTGTATTAAAACCATAGACCGAGGGAAAACATGTTATAACGTGTTTTAAAATGAGTTCTGCAAAGCGAAGGTGACGTCACCGACCTTAGTGTTAACAGAGACAGCGGGTTGTTAATGTCGGTAAGTCACGGTCACTAAACGATCCCGTTATTACAGGTAACTGTCGTGTCTGGACGAGCTGTTAAAGAGCAGAGCAGCGGACGTGTGTGTCGTGTTTGTTCATATTAAGTTTGGTTCAGTGTTAGTCGGCTAGTTTTCAGCTCTAGTTCATTTCATTATTGATGACAGGAGTCAAAACATCTGTTGGAATGATTCTGTCTCTGTCAGAATAAAGAACATCACTGAGAGCTGAGAACCATCATGACATGTGCACCTGCACAATGACACCAAACTGAGTATTACTTTCTATTCTATTGTTATTTCATGTAAAACGGTTTAGCAGATTGTTTATTACAACTGAGGGAATAATGTATTTCAGATATCTGTGATCATCTAATCAGAGTGCTGTTTCTATTGTCTTTTTCTCTGTACTCTACAATATGATATTGATATGATTTCTCTCTATTATGATGTTAGAGGAATAAAAAACTGTTGAGTGCACTAACTTCCTGTATATTCACCGGTACAACATGAGCAGACTTTACAGTGCAGTACAGTCATTGGTAGACAGCATAGAGGCTGCTTGTCAGAGTGTCTTATTCTGAAAGTCCTGTTCTGTTTCATGTGCATCTTCTGCCCTCTGCAGGACAAACTGTGAACTACACTGAGGTCTGGAGTCATCTGACCATTTACCACCACCCTCAGGTACACACGACAGTCATGTCAATCGTCTCATATATCTCCCAGCAAAATAATAATAATAATAATAATAATAATATAATAACTTTAAAAACAAACTTTTCAAAGTGCTTTGACAAACGAATCAGAAGCAATGAAAGTCAAAAGCAGGACAGAGATAAGGTTGAGTTACAGAGGGCGGACAAACAATATGATTCAATATAATTAAGTACAATTACAGGGAGCAGATGCTGAATCAAAAACACAAGTCGTCTCACAGAGACACTGCAACACCTTTCCAGTGAGTAGAACAGGTAAAACAAGTCAAGGTCATTTCATCATCACCACAGTCATCTTCCTCATCCCAGAGCAGACGGGACACAACACATGGCAGGTATCAGACATTATTCACACTCAAACCCAGAAGTTTCATTCAGCAGAAGCACAAAGGAATAATACGGAGCATCATTATCAAAGACTGGCAGCTTAATGCAGTTCAGATGGAAGTGAGCACCAACCGAGTAACAAGGTGGAGACTAAATAAACCCTCGGATCACCTGGTGTGACGCTGTCGACCACAGGAGTCAGTCGTTCGTCCATCACGTGGAAAAACTCAGTATTAAACAGGATGTTTTCATCAACAGGTAACTAACTCTGGTCACTCTGGGAGTGCACCTTAATATTGGTGGTGAAGAAGAAGGTCTCACAAGCATCTATCAGGGATCATTCAGAAACCACACAAAGGCAAAAGGTGACTGAACCATGACATGTAGTGGAGGCCTCGGCAGGGAGACGGACAACAACAACAACAACAACAACAACAACAACAACAGTCCAGTGCAGCTTTGCTAGCTTAGCTGCAGATTGAGGTTTAACTTAAACCTGCTTCAGACCCTGTCGCCTTCAAAAGAACATGCAGATTTGAAAACTTAGAAATTAATCAAATCATCTGATCTGTATAAACCTGTCCTTCATTTTTATGAACCTTTGAATTAAAATCAGGTGTGTGGCAGGTTTAAGTTACTGCCATTGAAGCAGGTCTGCAGCAGGTTAAACATAAACCTGAGGTTTAAGTACATAAAGTTGGACTTTAAAGGGTTAGATAAGACTGTATATTTGACATATTGCAATAGGAACAATCTTACTGACTGTGATCATCACCTTCCATGTTCACACATTTTAAATGTATTACACACGTTGGTTTGACTTTTGATTACGGTGAAGCCTTCATGGTAAAAGGTTTGAAACTTGGGAAATTAATAAAATGATCTGAGCTGTAGAAATCTGTCTTTATACTTGTGAATTTAACCCGGCTTAAACTGGGTCTAAGGCAGGTTTAAGTTAAACCGGGTCTATGTCAGGTTTAACCCTGTAAGGTCCACTGTTGCAATATTACAACATCATGTTTAACCGTCCTGAAGAAAGATCTCTGAATGTTTGTTTTTTTAATTAAAACCACCTTTTCCTAGTGAATGGGTCCTATTGTTTATCCTGACAATGCTATTGGATAGAATAGGTGTTTATAGGTCCAGTCATCTGACCATGAACTCACACTACCTGCTAACTTTTCTCTGAGCTCATCTCCTTGTTTTACTGGACTGGATTTGGCAAGATTCAAGTAAGTAAATTACCTGAAATATTTGTATTTGTGTTTGTTACAATGTCTAGAACAAGTAGATGTTAAGTTATTGTGGAAAACATTCAATCATCAATTTTACAACACTTTGTGCTAGCTACAGTGGCCTGTGCACCTGGCACATTACATGAACTTCTCACTTGTTCACAAGGAAAAAATACCATTAGAAACCTCATCACGTCAACAGGTGTTTACACAGCAGCAACGGCGGGAAATTCAACATTAGTAAAGCGACAAACATACAGTTACAAAGGCAGTCGATGTATATTTGACTCACGTTATCTGACGTAAAGCCCGCGCTGCCGTCCTCCATGGAGACCGAGAGTTCAGTTTCCGGGTCGTAGGACGCTTCTGTCCGGAAACACGCCGCGGCGGCCATTTTGTTTGTTTGTCGAAAGATCTGGACTGTAGTGGAAAAGTCTGAATAATCTCCTCCTCTCCTCGGCCGCCTCATGTACGATGATAAATATTGAGTTAGAGCAGAATAACGTAGAATGACAGACTTTACTGAGGTTTATTTTATCAGCTGATATTCTGTCAAAACTCTCATTAAAAACAAAAACACATCGTCACACTTCAAAAAGTCTTTATTTCTATTTTGTTTTCACAGAGTTCACGACACGGAGAGAAGAGGTGCATCATCACATCACGCCATTTATATTCACCTAACAATACACGCGAAGGAAGGAAAAACGGCCATGAAACACTTAGTGGATCAAAGCCCCGTGTGGACTGGATTTCTGGACTGGTGGTGTTATGTCACTTCACATTGCCTGTGTTTTATTCTTTGTTTGTTTACATTATGGAAAACTGCTTCCATTAAAGCAGCAGAATCAGCTGTGATCAGCTCCCGTCTGCAGAGTACGATGATGTTCAGACAACTGTCACTGGATCACTGCGATCCTGAAGGAAACATGATTCTCTCTGAGGTTCTGCAGGTAGAAGGAGCATCTTTTTCGGGACATCAGAGATAGTGATATCAGGAAGTGAAGTGACACTGAATCTAAAAATGTGTATTTCATTTCCCTCCTTTCAGATCTGACTGAGATTTGACTCTGAGCAGGACGAGTATCCTTGTGTGTTACAGACCGTGTCCTGTCACTTTAATCCAGTCTACACGGACCTTTAATCACCATTTTGTCTGGAGGTACTAACTGATAACAGATAAGCGTGAATCAACCTCTGCTCTATCCAGTGTAGGGAAACTTGAGGAGCGCGGCCTGTCCGGGGCCGAGGTACAGGTTCATCAGGTCCACGCTGCTGTCTGCAGGCAGGGCGCTGCTGTTGGTGCTGATGACCACCGCAGCCTGCCGCGGCAGGGTCGCATCGCTCAGCTGCAGCACCGCCGCCTCCTCCGCCGCCCAGTTGAAAGCGGCCAGGTAACGCGTGCTCTGATCCCAGACCCGCAGGTACGCCAGGGAGGAGGAGGAGTTAGAGAGGAGCACGAAGTCTCCGAACATCAGGGAGCGTTCTTTACCTCGCAGCTCGCTCACGCTGCGGAAAAATCTGCGACAGGAGAGACGCTCCGCCCTCTCCTCCTGCACAGAGACAGATCATCAATACACAGTTTACCACTACTACTACAGCTGGTACTCATACTGCTTCTGCCACGACTCACATCGTTACTAGACGAGGCAAATTTATCTGTACAGCACATTATCATACACAGAGGTCACTCAATGTGCTTAACAGAAATAAAAGAACCATAAAGACAGAAGTAAGAAGGAAACAGTGTAAAACAGTATAAAAATACCGATTATAAAATAGATAATCTCATTTAAGTGCAACAGAGCAGTTTTTAGCTTCTTTATAAAGCCAGGTTCCAGCAGGTTCCTGGAGGTTCCAGCAGGTTCCTGGAGGTTCCTGCAGATTCCTGCAGGTTCCTGCAGGTTCCAGCAGGGGGCAGTATAATTACTGAAAGCCATTTCACCCTGTTCAGCTTTAACTCTGGGCTCCACTGACTGAGCAGCTCCTGCAGATCTTACAGCTCAAATACATGGAACATTTCTGAAATATATTTAGGGTTCAGACCGTTTATTTATCTTGATAAAAATATTAAATTTCACCTTTGGAACAAATGGTCAGAGGAGGAGAAGGGGAATTTTAATATCCCAGAGGAGGGCTGGAAAAATGTTTTTTTAATCACAACATTTTGTTGGGGGTGGGGGTGGGGGGGTGGAATATGTTGGAGACTGTGGGATAGATGACGCCAATCACTTTCAAACTTTTTTGAATATCCAGAATATTGATGGTTATTGGCAGGAATTACACAAACACATGAATAATGTATTTGGTGTGAACTCTGAGCTGTGATGCTGTTTACATGCGACGTCCTGTTTGAAGGGTGGAGCACAAAGTATCTTGATGTGTCTGTTGTTTACCTGCAGAGTCTCATTCAGCCGCTCATTAGAGTCCCAAAGCATCTTGGGGAACTTGGTGCCCTGAAGTAGAGATGACAAAATGTAAACAACAATCAAGAGATCCAATGAGTATCAGTGATAACCAATAGTCATGTTTTAGCCTGAGCGGCTGATGTTGGTACTAGTACTGCTAAACTAACTAAACTAACTAAAACTACCACTGCAGTTCCATAAAGCAGCTGTTTCACTGCGTCACATTTGAAAAGCTCTTGTTTTGGCGCCACCTGCTGGTTGTGACCTCACCTCGTCCATCAGGCCGATCTCGTCACCATAGTTGAAGACTGGCGTCCCGGGCAGCGTGAGCAGCAGCAGCTGGTGCAGCTTCACCAGAGCCGGGCCCACCAGCGACGCCAGGTGACCCTCGACCCGGCCCCCCAGGTTCCAGGCCAGCTTGGTCTGGCTGTGGTTTGAATACAAGAACTGGACGGACTGAGCGCGCTCCGTGGCGTCCACGTCTCCTCCACGGAGGACCCTGGAGATCAGGAGGTCGACATGGGTGGAGGAGAGGAGGGAGGACACGTCCTCAGCCGAGGATCGCTCTGTGATGCCGATCAGGACCCTGGAAAACACCCAGAACCCACAATGATCTGCTGCTCTGCTATGAACATGTAGAGAGTCTGGACCAGGTCTGAGGACTGACCCAGAGTCCAGACCTCTCACTCTTACTAAAACTTTTCTGTCTGACACTGGATTTTATTTTGAAGGTAAACTTCCTGTCCAGATGTTAATACGTGTCCCAGCAGCGGCCCATTATTGTTCCTGACCTCCTGTTCTGACGCTCGTCCATCCTGTTCTGGACGATGGCTCGGATGTCGGCCCACAGAGACGGCACCACGCCGGACACACGCTCCACCCCCGACAGCTGGACGCCGTCCACGCCTTCGTTCAGCCAGAACACCAGAGCAGACTGATGAGACAGAGACAGACAGCTGTTAGAGAATCTGAAGAGCTGGAGCTGGTTTAAAGGCTGTGGGGGGGGGGCTCTCACCTTCAGTCTCTCTGCAACGTTGGTCACACTGATGTTGGAGAACCAGGGTCCAGATGATCCCTGGTAGTTTGGAGTCAGATCCAGAACCACAGAGATACCTGCAGGAACACGACTTTACCTTTACCATGTTCTATATGAACCTGATATTAACGTAACGTTCTCCGTCATGTCAGATTTACACATTAAATACATGAATGAATGAACAACTCTGTAACCCCTGGAAACCTCCTCCTGTTGTGATTGGTCGATCAGTGAACGTCTCCTCACCCTTCTTGTGAGCAGCCTGAACGAAACCCTTAAACTGCTCCAGGTTTCCCGCCTCGGGGGAGATCTCTTCGAATCTCAGGCTCATAGCGTCGTCAGGCGGAGCGACGTGGATCGGTCCGACCACCAGACCTTTAACCTTGAGCTGAGACAGACTGTCGACCTTCTGCTCCAGACCTGAAGGACGAGAACAGAGCAGCTGTGACCGACGTCGGCGTCACGTCTGTGGGCGGAAGGTTCCACGTGCACGAGGCTGCACGTGCACGCTCCTGCCAATGGTTTCACAGTGTTCAGCAGGAGGGAGACGTGCAGATGAAACACACTGAACAACAACACAGGGTGTGAAAGCCGATTCTCTGACTGCAGCGCTGCACTAATTAAACTGAACTCCACTCAGGTCACATCCCTGTTCAGTCAAATTAAATATTAAGAATCTGTGTGAAACTTTGTCATAATAGCTGAGAAGTCTTGAGTAATAGCTAAAAAGTGTTTAGTGAGGTCACACTGGCCTTGACCTTTGACCACCATAATCTAATCAGCTGGTCTTTGAGTCCAAGTGAATGTTAGTGTCAGATTTGAAGGGAGGTAAATCTAGTTTTTCTCCGTCCGTCTCATTCTCGTGAACGTGATATCTCAGTAACACCTCGAGGGAACTGATTAGATTTGGGTGGTCAAAGGTCAAAGGTCACTGTGACCTCACTAAACACTTTTTAGCCATTACTCAAGACTAAGACTTCACACACTAATTACGACACAATTTAACTCAAATGTCTGTGAGGATAAAATATAATAGAGACAGTAGAGCTGATCCATTCACAGCTGCTGCGTTCACTGTAGCTGGTTCACTTCAACACTGAACACGAGGCAGGAGTTCAGTGAACCAGTTTCACTCCAGACAGCTTCTTCTTCAGCTCATTTAAAGCAGTTTCACTTCTGCTACATGTCAGCAGTATTACACACACACACACACACACACACACACACACTCTCACCCTTCAGGTTGTGGGTGTCGGTGAAGGCCGGGATGTTTACGATCTGGTACAGGGGGCCGTCGTTCCACCAGTTGGTGGGGGGCAGGTCTCTGCAGCGAGGAGCCTGCAGGATGATGAAGACGGCTCCGACCAACATCCCCAACCAGCCGAGCCAGAACACCACCAGCAGGGCCCAGCGGGTCCTCACCCAGCTGAGGAGACATCATGAATATTAACCAGTAGCAAAGTTGTAGTACATTCTCCAACCAGCAGGGGCAGGAGTGAGCGCGGGAAGAAATCCTGCAGCATCTTTGATTTTACTCAGATCTTTATTATCTGCTGTGGTTTTTTTCATAACTTATAAATCCTCAGAGTGATTTCCCGCCAGTCAGTGAGTTTGTATTGATGCTGTTCTTTGATAAATATTACTGTACAAATAATTAATACTATAATATTATATATATATAAAACAAGGGATATGTTCAGAATTCTGCTTATTGAGACAAGATTTAATTAGTGAAATTTAATGTAGGGGAGATGGGGATGGTTGTCACATGGGTCAGTTTAACACTTCAGGAACGAGTTAGGAATCACCTGATCACTGTATACCTGCTCAGTTTTATTCCACCTGTGAGGAAGTAGCTCCCTGTGACAGACAGACGGTTTTAGAAGGAAAAAAATTATTTTGCGGTAAGAAATTTTCACTTAATTATTTTTGTAACAGCAGCCTGATTTTCAAACGTATGTTTATTGTGAGTCTACATGGATATTTCTCACACTAGTTGTCAGTGCTAATGTATTAGCTGTTAGCTGCGAGTTAAGCTAGTTAGCTACAAGAGTCTGGGTTAGTTGTAACAACAACAACACACAAATTCTGTCAAAAAGCGATTTCAATGTTGAATAAAAATCTTTCAATATCAAGTTTTTGTCATAATCCTCATTAACCTGGACTGTGAGGTGAGTCGTAACATTTCACTCCTTGTGTTTGAGACTGAACCACAGACTGTTTGGTTGCCAAGGTAACAGCTACACCATTTAATAACAGACACATGGAACTAGTTTGTATTAAAACCCACTGGATAGAGATACAGACAGAAATCATCAACCAGACTCCATGTTTTTAATGAGGCTCAGGGTCAGTTACAACCTCGGAATTCTTCCTTTAAAATAAACAGTGACTGATGCGTCAGGTGTAACGATGTTTAATGGGTCATTAGCTACAGATGTGAGTTCAATATATTCCAGTTGGTCTCTTCTACTGCTGCTCTGACTCACCACTGCGCATGTGTCAAACCACAGCTGAAGGTATAAGGCTGCTGATGTTTGTCGTGAACACACTGGATATGAAATGTGTCACGTGTTTACGTGTCAGCTGGTTTCCAGATCCAGCTGATGCGGGACTCTGTGGACCGGACCCTGTGTGGAGTGTGTCATCAGTGTGTGTGTGTGTGTGTGTGTGTGTGTGTGTGTGTGTGTGTGTGTGTGTGTGTGTGTGTGGTGTATCCGGGCCTGTGTGCTCCTCCTCACCCCGGGGTTCCCGCCACCCGCAGCAGCTCCTCCTTGCTCAGCCCGGTGAATTTCCCCCCCTCCACCTCCTCGGGGATCTTCAGCTTCACGGAGCCGTTCTTCTCCGCTGCCGCCGCCGCCGCGTCTCCGCCGGCCGACGCAGCGTCCGCATCCCGGTCTCCTCCGGTCATCGGCTGCTTCTCCTGCTCCTCCTGGTCCAGGTCCGCCTCACTCACATCGGCCTCCGTCGCATCAGCATCCGCTGCGCCCTGAGCCGGATCCGCCGCATCCTTCGGCTCCACATCTTTGGTCTCAGCATCCTGCAGCTCCACGTTCGTCTCCTCCGTGTTCATACCGGCAACAACCCGTTAACTCACCGACAGTTACTGAAGTCAGACGAACTGTGACGGGCGGGTCTGCACCATCAGACTGGTCCTGATGTCTGTCTGATGTCTGTCTGACCGCAGCACTGCGGCTCTGCTGCTTTCACTGCTGTCGGAAATATGGGAACCACGGTGAAGCCCCCACCCCCTCCTCCTCAACATCACCACTGCATTTCACAATAAAATCAAACCCACACACATGAAAACAACTTTAAATAACATCAATAGTTCCTTCACGCCTATTTGGCTGTTTTGGACTTGACTCGTTAGTTTCCATAAAGTGATCTCTGTTGTCCTCTAACTAAAGGTGACTGAAGAGGCTGACAACAAGGCACATTTCCGAGTGCACCTGAAGGCAGCATTAAAAGGATTGGTCCAAATTCTACCGCAGTGGCTAAAAATATTATATATATATATATATATATATATAAGAATATAAGAATAAAAATTAAATTCAGGATAAGAACAAGAAGCAGAGAGAAGTGATGGTTTGTGATCAGGGTTGTGTGTTTATATTGTGCAGAGTGTGTGAGTGTGTGTGAGTGTGTGTGTGTGTGTGTGTGTGTGTGTGTGTGTGTGTGTCATAGATCAGGCTGACTCAGCAGCTCTGCAGACTGCTGACCAGTTTCAAAACCTTCCTGACACAGGAAGCAGCTGTAAACCAGAGGTGCTGAGAACAAGTGTGAGGCCCCGAACATTTCCATCTGAGGCCCCTCTGAGCTTCTGCTGAGGGAAACACTCGACATCGTACAGTCCTGCTCAGGAATACTGGCACTCTGAATTTCAAGAGCATCATTCAGACATAAATTAACCAACTTTGTATGACCAGAATATTCGTAGTAAAATCTCAATGGTTATTGAACAAAAGATAAAAAGATAAATTAATCATGGATAATAGTGAAATGATACAAACACAATGTACCTGGACAGTTATTGGCCACCTTCACTGATGCAGAAGCTTCACCAGTTTCTTAAACTGCTCTTTAATCTGCCTCCCTGTGTGTCGGGCCGGTTCTGAAGACGCAGCAGCAGAAACCCCCGAGTTTAACGTTGAGTGTAGAAAGAGACTTAATGATGTACACCGATAGGATATAACATTATGACCACCTGCCTAATGTTGTGTAGGTCCCCCTTTTTCCCACCAAAACAGCTGTGACCCATGCAGGCCTGGACTCCACAGACCTCTGAAGGTGTGCTGTGGTATCTGGCACCAAGATGTGAGCAACAGATCCTTTAAGTCCTGTAAGGTGCCAGGTGGAGCCTCCATGGATCGGATTGTCCAGCACATCCCACAGATGCTCAACTGGATTGAGACCTGAGGAAGTTGGAGGACAAGTCAACACCTTGAACTGCTCACATGCCCATTGAAAGCGCTTTCTGCGGCTAACATCAATGAGCCTTGAGCGCCCATGACCCTGTTGCCGGTTCACCGGTTGTCCTTCTTTAGACCACTTTAGGTAGGTACTAACCACTGCAGACCGGAAACAGCCAACAGCACCTGCAGTTTTGGAGATGTTCCGGCCCAGTCGTCTCGCCATCACAATTTGGCCCTTGTCAAAGTTGCTCAGATCCTTACACTTGCTTTTGCTGCTTCCAAGACATCAACTTCAAGGACTGAATGTTCACTTGCTGCCTGATACATCCCACCCACTGACAGGTTCCATTAGAACGAGATAATCAAAGTTATTCACTTCACCTGTCAGTGCTCATAATGTTACGGCTGATCGGTGTATCCGGAGGGGAGTAAAACAATAATTCAGGCTGGGACTTTGACTCCATCTCAGGCCACACTGTTCATGCTAATGTTGTAGGCCACAGGTTTTCAAAGTGGGACGTGGACCTCACCAGGGGGGCTCCAAACAGTTTCAGGTAATGTGAAGGGAAAAAATATTAGAAGTTATTACATTAGTTATCAAAATAGATCACATAAATGAGCCTAAATGTGTGTGATTTGGTTCAAGACATAGGTCAGAGATACAGTGGTTTCAGGGAATGTTGTTTTTTACCAGAGTCAGAAACTAATAAAAGCCTGACAAAATGTGAGTTTTGGATATTGATATTTGATGATTTAGTAAATGATCTTCTTATCATTCGATTTCTTTTGGAGATCAGTTTGAGTGTTTTGATACGATATGTGAATGTAACCAGTGATATAAGACATGAGGAGCTCTCAGCCCCTTTTTATTTTGTCTTAGTAGCTCTCAGAGTAAAAAAGGCTGGAGACCCCTGATGTAACGAGAACCAGACTGAATATGTTGAGCTATGACTCTGTGTGAACCCTCAAAAACTCATTACACATACAAATGTACAAGGCTAGACACACAAAACAATCAGCCTACACTTTTTAAAAGGAGAATGAGATACAGTTAGCTCAAAAGTTGAAAGGATCAGCTTTATCTAAAAATAAAGAAAAATCACATACACATTCACTGAAATTGAACACAAGCTACAAGAGTGTAAGTTTAACTAGTGTTTTTGACTGACCTGGTCCTTACCACAGACAAAATAAAGACGGAAGTAGCCTCCGTGACGTCACCCATAGGTTTGTGAAGAGCGGCGTTGAAGCTCAGAATGAGCCGTTACGCCGCCGCCATCTTGCCAGAACAATAGACTGTTTAAAAAAACAAGCCAGTACCTGATTCCGCCAAAGTGGGCAAAAAGGAGGCGCGTGTGTGGAGCCGAGACTTCCGTGCATGCCGGCTTGTGGCCGCCATACGCTCACCCGCCTGTCACTCAAATAACAATAACAACCTCAAATTGTAATTGTGCAGAACTTTAAGCCTTAGTAAGATTTAAACGAGTGAGTCATAAAAAATCACCCCCTTACAGTTGCCATGAATGTTTTTGTACCAGGCTGTAAACATGTTCATTTCTGCTGTAAAGTTGGATTTTAAAATGGCAGTCTGTGGGGAACGACTCACTTTTGGAGGCGGTCTTAAACGGCCATTAGAAGAAGGGCAGTTTTATGGTATTTCCGTGTTCAATCACATCACTTATTAGTTTGGAGCATTTAGCTGCATATGAGTTGAGGGCCTTTCCCCCTCTCTGCTCCACGTTTCCCTTTCTTCTGACTATGGCGAACATTAATTTCGCCGCGGGTGACTCATCTAAGATGTCTAAGAGTTTGCCAAACATGTTGCCAAATGCTAACCGAGAGACGTGCTGACGCCATTTTGGGCGCGGACACATTGAACGATCGCCTACTCAACTTATCTGCTATGGTTAAAATAAACCCACCACAGTTTCATAACAGACCAAAGCTATTTTTTACTACTCATAGTGTTACCGTTCTCATAAACTATCGCAGCCCGTCGGTATATCAACATTGAGCACTGCATATTGATTTTGTATTTTTTTCAACTGACTGAAACCTTATTTAATGAGTCGGGCATTGATTCACTGAGCCCCTCCCACACTCCAGGTCAGTGGGTGGCGGTAATGCACCCGTTTGCCAACCGCCATTTTAAGAAACAAAAGAAGAACAACAACAACAATAAACACAGAAAAAGAAGAATCGGTACAAGAAGGTGAAGACGACGACGAAGACGAATTAGAAGAAGACGACGAATTAGAAGAAGACGACGAAGAAGAAGAAGACGACGAAGAAGAAGAAGACGACGAATAAGAATAAGACGACGACTACGCGACGGTGGCGAAGAAGAACATTAGAAACACAGAAGTCGACTGTGCTGAGGTAACGTTATTATTAACGTGTTAAAACGCCGTAAAAACATCGAGCCGATGCATAAATCTGACTGTGTACAGGTCACAACTGCTGCTCATTGTGGTCATGATGTTTCTCCCCGTGTGTACATGTATTTTAATCGTGTTTAGCAATTTAGTGTAACTTTGATCTTAGCCAGGCTAACGGAGCTCAGACTTTCTCATGGTCCGTTGTTGTCTCTCTTTCTCCTTTTAAAGCTGCGAGTAGAAACCCGCTCACGTGGAGCTGATGCACTGATATCATTGTGTTTCACACAGAGCGTCTGAGATTAGACTGACTGTACTTCCTGTCTGCTGTGTTTTCAGCTTCTCTCAGAGACTAAATGGCTTTCAGACCAGAGGAGGATCTCCGCTGTCCGGTCTGTCATGAGGTCTTCAGAGATCCTGTTCTCTTGTCCTGCAGCCACAGCTTCTGTAAAGACTGTCTGCAGAGCTGGTGGAGAGAGAAACAAACACCGGAATGTCCAGTTTGTAAGAGAATATCTTCAAGGAAACATCCACCTTGTAACCTGGTGTTGAAGAACCTGTGTGAGGCCTTCTTACAGGAGAGAGATCATGGATCTTCAGAGGCTCTCTGCAGTCTGCACTCTGAGAAACTCAAACTCTTCTGTCTGGACCATCAGCAGCCAGTGTGTCTCATCTGTAGAGATTCAGAAAAACACACCGACCACAGATTCAGACCCATCGATGAAGCTGCTCCACCACACAAGAAGAAGCTTCAGGAAACTCTGAAGCCCTTAAAGGAGAAGTTAAAGGGTCTTAATGAAGTTAAAGTGGAGTTTGATCAAACAGCAGAACACATTAAGGTCCAGGCCCGACGCACAGAGACGCAGATCAAGGAGCAGTTTAAGAAGCTTCACCAGTTTCTAGAAGAGGAAGAGGAGGCCAGGATGGCTGCACTGAGGGAGGAAGAGGAGCAGAAGAGTCAGGTGATGAAGGAGAAGATGGAGGCTCTGAGCAGAGAGATAGCAGCTCTTTCAGACACAGTCAGAGCCACAGAGGACGAGCTGAGAGCTGAAGACGTCTCATTCCTGCTCAGCTACAAGGCTGCAGTGGACAGAGTCCAGCAGCGCCCCCTGCTGGAGGATCACCAGCTGGGCTCAGGAGCTCTGATAGACCAGGCCAAACACCTGGGCAACCTGACCTTCAACATCTGGAACAAGATGAAGGACCTGGTCTCCTACAGTCCTTTGGTTCTGGACCCAAATACTGCTGGTCCACAACTCATCCTGTCTGAAGATCTGACCACAGTGAGACGAGGAGAGAGACAGAAGATTCCTGACAATCCAGAGAGGTTTGATCTTTACCGCTCTGTTCTGGGCTCTGAGGGGTTTGACTCAGGGACTCACAGCTGGGACGTTGAGGTCGCAAAAAACAGAGGCTGGATAGTTGGCGTGTTGGAAGAGACCACAGAGAGGAAGGGAGACATGAAGTCTGGATTTTGGAGAATGGGGTTGTCTGAAGGTAAACACAGAGCGTGGTCACCTTCAGCTCCACAAACTGTTCTCAGAATGAAGAAGAAGAAGCTCCAGAGGATCAGAGTGAATCTGGACTGGACCAGAGGAAAACTGTCGTTCTCTGATCCTGATACTGACACACACATACACACCTTCACACACACTTTCACTCACAAGGTGTTTCCAATCATTTGCAACTGGGATCATCTCCCAGTGAAGATGTTACCAGTGAAGGTCTCTGTTACAGTGGAACAGGAGAAGTTACAACAACCACTATTACCAGCAGTTTAGATATCAACACTTGTTTTTTCACTAGTTATAATTCCAGGCCGAATGTCATAAAGTCATTTTGACCAGCAGCAATTCAGTTTAATGACTTTACAATTCATCCTCACTAGTCACAATGTTCTTTATCAATAATTCATTTCTTGAAATTTCTGGAAATGAAAATCTGTTTTCAACATGTGGAAATTGAGTTGCAGATATATGTAACTTTTGTTCTAGTGAAAAATAAATGACAGATTTCAGTATAATTGTTGTCATGGTTCCAATATTATTTTTCTTTTAGTTCTCACTGGTTTTTATTTCTTCTGTATTTGAACTATTTGCTTTTTCTCTCGTTGTCGAACTTTTCATGTGTGTAAAACGATTTCACTCATTTTCTGATCTTTATATTTTTTCTTTTTATTGATACTGAGTCATTTTACATCAGTTTTTTAAAATTATTGTGACTTTGTCTGGAGCCATGACGACCAGCAAACTGGAGATCCAAATAAATAAAAAAAAAAAAGACATTTTATAAATAGCTTTTGATCAGCTGATCATTGATCAGATTCAAACTATTTTCAGTTCTGGTCCGATAAAGTTCAACAACAGCTGATTTCAGTGTAAACATGTCAGTTCATGATAAATGCTGAATGTACATTGATTCCTGTTTCTCATCAACATAATAAAATATTGTCTTGACTTGGTTTCACATTCTGCTTTTCTGCTTCATGTTTAAACGTCTCCTGCTTCTGTGATAGTTGCACAAATACAAATACACTATAGTTCATATAGAAAGTGACGACAGTCCACAGCTGGACCTTCCAGCCATCTTGTGATTGACGGCTCCTGTTTTGTTGTGTTGTCACCGTGTGTCGGAGCAGTGGAGCTGGACCTGGTTAATATTAGAGCTCGTTTAGTCCTTGGGTCTGTTCAGTGTCACAGTCTGACACTCTGGGCCTTCAGTATTGGTTAAATCAGGCTAAACATTCCCAACGGGCCATGCACTGTAACAAGCTCTCTGATTGGTTGAGCTAACCAGAGAGTCAGAGAGGTTAAATCACTAAGCTGATCGATGAGCCAACAGGAGAGGCAGCGGAAATGGAATTTGAAGAAGGAATCCAGGAATGTTTTACCATTTTTAAAAAGTCTTTACAAATAGTTTTTCAAATAATATTATTTATTCAATAATTAATAAATGTACTTATAAATGGTTTGTTTAATATGAGTTTATGCTGTTTTTGTAAATCCATTTTTAAACCTGAAGTATTTATTGACGGATTAATCAATCATTTATAAATTCTTTTTATAATTCCTATTTTTAATGCCTAAGGAAATGAAATTACTGCTGGTCCTCCATAGGTCTTACACTACAGGTATCATAAAAGGAATTCTAGATATTTTAAATTCCATGCTCCTCTATTGGTTTGTAGCTGCCAGAGAGAAATAAAACTCCTCACTGTGACAAATACTGTTGAACCCCTTCATTCACTTGCTTTCATCTTTAATCAGGAGTAAACAGAGGAAGTGATCAGCAGTGATCAGGGATCATCGGGCGTCTGGTAGAGATCAGTCCTGTACAGCAGACTCATCAGCCTGCACAGCACCCTGCGCTGGAGGCGGCGACCCTTGTGTTTCTCGTTCCGCAGCTTCTCCAGCAGCAGCACTTTGTCTGCGATGATTCTCCCCTCACACAGACGCTTCACCTGCAAACACAACCTGCAGGTGAATGGACAGGTGTGACCAGGCCACGGTCGACACCGTCCAGCTGAGCGGAGACGGAGCAGTTTAAAACCATCCTCACCATCGTACTCGCTGAGCTGATTATATAATTAAATGAATGAATGTGACCTGGACCCAGATGAGCAGCAGAACATGGATGGATGGATTAAACAGGTTAAAGTGATTTTATGATTCAATCAATTAGTCCATCGAAAAAAACTAACTCTGCAGTGACTTTGATTTTTGATAATTGATTGTTTCAGTCTATGAATCTAAAGATCGAGGTGCGGACAGGATAAAGTAAAGCTGCCGTACCTGCAGACTGATGAACCGAGCGTTGCAGCGTTCCTCCTGCAGCGTTTCTGTTATCGTCCTACATGAACAAAGAGAAAAACATCTGTTTTATCTTTATACTCAGAGACAGACAATCAAAGTGTCAGTAATGTGATGTTCCACCACCAGCCTGCAGAACATCTAGTCTTATTCAAGTGGGAAGAACAGGGCTGATCCAAAGACACAACCTCCTTAATGATCGACAGAACCTCCTGCAGACCCACCAGAAACCTCCTGAAGGAGCGAGCACCTCTTAAATAACCACTAACACCTGCTCGAATCTTCTAAACAACCTCTACAGCCTCCAAATTTACACAGAGAACCAACCAATGACCATTAGAACCGTCATTTAGATGTTTAGACACTTCGTTAGTCCCAAAAGGAGGCGTCCGATTGGTCCAGATTCATCCTGCTGCAGAACAACGAGTCCAAACACATGAAGAACAATCTTCAGGGACCAGGAGAACCAGGAGTCCTGCAGCAGATGGTTTGGTCCCCACAGAGAGACTGAGACAGAAGAACTGAGGCAGGTTCTCCACGATGCTGGAACAACCTTCCTCACAGTCACTTCACCATCAGTGTCTGAAGTGTTCGCTCAGTGCCATCGGTTTCTAACAAACACTCATGAAAAGGCTTTAGTCCCACCTGCAGACCAGACTGTTGCATTCAGGATCCAGCAGCAGGAAGTCGTGCAGGTTGTCCACAGGTAGCAGCCTGCAGGCGGCCTCGCGCAGCTCTGCATCCTCCTCAGTCTCCACGTAGCTCTGCAGCGTCTCCTGCACGTCTGCTGATGACAAACCTAACGCACCCACAGCTGCAACAACAACACAGGAGTTTATCAGCTGAAGTTTATTCTGTGAGACACTTCAAGGCTGAACAGAGAAAATGGATGTCATGGTTAATATCCTGTAAAACTCCGACAGTCAGGATCTTTGGGTCGGGAGACGGGGAGAGGAGGGAGCTCGGAGTAGAGCCGCTGCTCCTTCACATCGAGAGGTGATGGATAAATGGATGGAGCTGGCGCATGGTGGGGGGGGTTGCTGTGTTGTCAGGGGTAACAGCTCCTGGCAGGTCTCTTCTCCTGGAGCCTGGAGAGGAGCTGGGGGCCAAGTTTAACCCCACCTACCCCCAGCCTCGGGGCCACAAAAGGTCTAACTGGGGGAAACACATGATGCAGCACCGGCCCCAGAAACAAGTCAGTCTGGAGCTGTGTGATCATAGCAGCGTGCGATTACAGCGGGATGAGAACAGGGGGGTTAAAATCTCCACCCCCTGAATGTGTTATCATGACATCCTCATGACCTCGAGTGACCCCTGACTATGTGTGACATGTGGCGGCACCAGCAGGTCGACTGTAGCGGTGTGCAGTCTGCCGTGTCTGGTGACGTCACCTTGGATGGCGGACAGTCGGACCTCCCGCGCCGGGTCGTTCTCTAGCAGCTCCAGCAGACGACTCACAACCTGGACTCAAACAGAAAAACATCCTCACTCTCACAACGCCAGTGACATCCTGCTGGTTCCACACTCCGACACCAGAGACACCACACCGAGGTCAGTAAACCGGTCACATACCCACACTTTAAAAAGGAGCCATTTTACAAAGCTGATGTTGGTGAGTAAAGGAATTAAATTTGATGCTGAACTCACAACGTTTCTTATAGACTGGTGAGTAAACAGCTGCTAATGCTAACGTTAGCTATGTAGCAATAGAATAACTTCCACACAGCTTAGGATGTGGTGGAACAGGAGAGAGCGCTCACTTCTCTGACCTGATATAAAAGAATAAAAATAAACCAACATTTATTTTTGCCACTGTGACCAAACTCACTCATCAAACCTTCATTTATCTGTAGGTTAGTTTAGGCGACTTTTTAATTTGGTTTGCAGTAAAAGAGTCATCAGTCATCAGACAACAACCGCCCTGTGATGTCTCACCGTCTCATCCTTCAGCAGCAGAGACGCAGCCGCCACACAGGCCTGTTTCCTGACAGCAGGGGATTCGTCTTTGAAGCAGGAAACGAGAGACTCGAGCAGCTTCGCCGTCGTTAACTTCAGGCTGCTGATGAGCTCCAAAGCCTCCACCCTGTCCTGCAGCCCCCGTCCGTCCTCCAGCTTCACCCTGAAACCAGCAACACTTCTTAAATATTTACTTATTAAATATTTGGCCACATGCTTCAAACCTATTGCTCATGTTTACTTCTACTACTGTAGTGCTACTACAACGTTACACAGATGACACACAACTGTACATCTCTGCTGAACCAAATAAAGCTGCAGCTGTAAACTCCATCACTTCCTGTCTGCTAGAAGTAAATAAAGGGATGAGCAATAACTTCTTAAAGTTGAATGAGAACAAAACTGAAAAGCGAAGAGAAACACAGTTCAATAACCTGAGGAAATGAACTGGATTAAACCTGAGGTCACATCCTTGGCTTTATCTCAGATTCAGACCCGAGCTTCAGTCCCACATCAACAAGGTGACAAAAACATCATTTTCCGCCTGAGAAACTGAAATTCAAACATTTATAAACCAAAAAGATGCAGCTTTCAGAACCCATCTCCCAAGGGACTACATCTCCCAGCATCCCCAGTCGTGCTTGCAGACTGAATGGATGAAGGGCTGGAGGGTGTTTAGTGTCTGGTGCAGTGCTGTACCTCAGGTGTCTGTGAACGTTCTGTTCCTTTCCCAGCTTAATCAGAGCATCTGCGGCAGCGAGGCGAACCCGCTCGCTCAGGTCGCTCCACATCAGGTGAGTCAGTTTGTGAACAACATCCTGTTAGGAGACGGTTTACCTGAGCTGCAGCAGTGAACTCTCTCTTTACTGTGTCTGACTGGACGAACAGCAGGAGGCTCTGACCTTGTTGAGGGGTCCTCTGAGGCCACAGAGAGTGCGACAGGCCACGAGTCTGCCCTCTGGTTCAGAGCTGTTCAGCCGCTCCGCCACCAGGGAGCGCACCAGAGTCTGCAGGACGACGACAGCTGCTTTAATTCACTGAAGGAGTTTTCTTAGATTTTTTTGTCTCAGCGACGGCAACAGTCGGAGCAGCAGGAGAGAGATCATTCCGTCCCATTCTTGTGGACACGATGTCTCAATGATACCTCAACAGAACTTATTCACACATTCACCTAATACATAAAACTCTAAAACCTAGAGTAAAGACCCTGGACCCTGGACCCTGGACCCTGGACCCTACACCAGCAGGGGGCTCTCACCATTTGGCTGCTGAGGAAGATGAGCTGTGAAACAACCAGCTGGACATCAGGAGGCTGGTCCTGGCTGCGGGGGGGTTGGTCCTCCTGGAAGAGTTGTGCCAGAAGTCTCTGGATGACTCCCCTGTGGTCTCCATCCAGGACGACACACTGTGCAGCGACGCAGCTGTCAGCACCTGAACCTGAAGAATCTGCAACACCAGACGAGCCGAGTCACAGACGTCCAGTGTCAGTCGGTCAGGAACCTGATGGCGGATGCAGTTCTCTACCTGACTGTGGTCGTCTGGTTTGGTCCTGGTCCTGGTCCTGGTCCTGGTCCAGGCTCTCCGTGGTCACACTCTCTGAAACACACATCTGCACTCACACATCTGTTGTTGTGGTTAATAACAGTTAAACCAGATGAATTAATTTCCATCTGATCACATCTGTAACAAACTGACTCATCCACTGACGACATGACGACTGTGTGACTCACTCTTGTTGGTGCGTGTGGGCGTGGCCTTCCGGGCCGGGGGGGGCCGCCTCTGCAGGTGTCTGGACTTTGAGTCATTTAA